TGAATCAGTTTAGTTATTAGGTCTGAATTGGTTTCGATTCGGATTAACTTATTTTAATTGAATTAAATTATCAATTCGATCGTTAACGATTGGTTCGAACTGATTTAAACACTCCTAATAATATTTTTTAAAATAAAAATAAAAATCATATTGTTTCAAAAAGTGATTACCCCTAGCATCAAAGGCAATCAAAGTAATGAGATATCCAAAATCCATCCACACATTATGAGTTCAAGCATAATTTGCTAGCCAATTTATGGAGCGATTTTTCTCCCTAAATAAATGTATCACTTTAAATTCCTCAAACATATTTAGAAAATTTAAAATGTTTTGTTTTCAATAACATATCTTAAATCTCATGGTGGCTCCAAGTGGTGGTTGATAAGTTGTATAATAGCTAACGAATCCAACTCCACCAAATAAACTTTCTTTGATTGTAATTTGTAACCTTGGAACAAATAGCATTACTATCCTTGATGATGAAACCAACACTTCCCACTTATTCTATATTACCCGAGCCATCAGTATTTAGCTTATTTCAGGGTTTGGATTATATGATTTAGGTATTGAGCCCAAATCTAATTTATTAAAAAACAAAGAAAGAAAAAAACCTATAGAGACGTGCACAGCAAGGGCAGCGAACAGGTGGCTGCGTGCTGCGAACAACAGTGGCGGTGTGAGAAAGAAAAAGTTAAGGTTTTTGTGATTTATCTAAAATTTGTTGGATTTATCTTAAATTTTATGTGAAGAATTAATATAACAAACTCTATAATTTTAATAATACCGTTCTATAGTTTATTCTGTCTAAGATGCTTTCTTGTTATACCTACTTTGTGAAACTTAAAATTTAAATTCATATTTGATGATGATCATATGTTAATGTTTAATCAAGATTTGAGTTCTTGATTATTGGTTATTTGATCATGATCATATGTTAATGTTTAATCAATATTTGTGTTCTTTATCATATGTTAATGTTTAATCAAGATTTGTATTCTTGTTATTCTCTCATGTGTTCTTGATCATATGTTAATGTTTAAACTAGAAAAAATTTACTATAAACATGTTATCATTATTGGTGGTTGTGGAAGTTTGAAGTGGACTACGGTCCCATAATTTTTCTCGCATTAGGTTTTTCATGTAAAAATTTTAATATCTCACTTTGTGACTGATTTATTGTTTAATTGTTTATGTTGCTTTAGTTAATATTTACTTCTGATAATAAGTTGGTATTTTGACGAGGAACCCATTTTGATATACAAAAAGAGAAAAAAAAATTATTCTGCTATAATATTTTTTCTTAACAAGTGGTATTAGAACAACAGATTATTTGGTGCTAGTTTTTTTCTTATATAATTGAAATGAAAAAATCAGATGATATGATTAAATTGAACTCATCAAATTATTCCACTTAGAGGCACATGATAAAAGATTTGCTCTATTGCAAATATTTGTATAAGTTCATCAAAGTTAAAGATAAACCTTCTACGAGGAACGAGAGTTTAACATAATATGACAAAAGATGATAGATCTAAACTTGATAATAAGAAAAAAACATGTATCTTCTTGGATATGGTCATGAAGAGTTTGAGTATAGATTATGGAATCTAGTGAACAAGAAGATTATTAGAAGCAGAGATGTTATGTTTCTTAAAAACCAATTATTTGATGATGGTGATAATATTGATAAGCCAAAAATCTCTGTTTATATTCTTTGGAGTTTGGATCCAGTTCCTTTACCTATAGTTTATGATGATCATGGGGGAGATGAACAAGAAGATTATGGTGAGAATGTCAGTGATGATGCTCCTACAGTTGATAATGTTGAACCAACTGAACAAACACCTCCGCCACGATTCCATTGAGAAGATCCACAAGAGAGCGACAACCATATACTATATATCCTCTATATGAGTATGTTATGCTTACTGACAGGGAGAGCCAGAAACTTACTAAGAAGATATTCTACATGAGCATAATAACGAGTGAGTTAAAGCCATACAAAAAGAAATGAAATCTTTGCTTGAAAATTACACATATGACTTAGTAAAATTACCTAAAGAGAAAAAAGTTTTTAAGAACAAATGAGTTTACAAATTGAAAACCGAAAATAATAACCCACAACAAAGATACAAGACTAGTTATGAAAGGATTCAATCAAAAGAAATGAATTGACTTTGAAGAAATATTTTCTCCTATAGTGAAAATGTCCTCTATCCGAGTTGTTCTTGGTTTGGCTGTCCGCTTGAATTTAGAATTTAAGCAACTTGATGTGAAAATAGTATTTCTGTATGGTAACTTAGAAGAAGAAATTTACATGGAGCAATCAGAAGGTTTCAAAGTCAAGAGAAAAGAAAATCTGGTGTGCAAGCTTAAGAAAGACTTATATGGACTCAAACAAACACATAGACAGTGGTACAAGAAGTTTGATTCCTTTATGATAAGACAAGGGTATAATAGAACTATATCTGATCATTGTATGTTTATAAATAAATTTTTAGATGATAATTTCATTATTCTCCTGCTATATGTTGATGATATGCTGATTGTTGGCCATGATGCTAGTAAAATTAAAAAGCTTAAAAGATAGCTAAGTTAGTCTTTTGACATGAAAGACTTGGGATTGGAAAAATAAATACTTAGCATAAAGATTCTTCGTGATAGAAAGAAAGGAAAGATTTGACTATCTTATGAGACATTGAAAAGGTTTTGAAAGATTCAACGTGAGTAAAGCCAAAGTCAAAGCAGTTTGTTCTCCACTTGCAGGTCATTTCAAGCTTAGTTTAAAATAATATCCTACATGATAAAGAAAAAAAAGAAATGTCCATAATGTCTTACTCATATGAAGTAGTCAATTTGATATATGGTATGATTTGTACTAAGCTAGATATAGCTCATGCACTTGGAGTTGTCAGCCGATTTCTCTCTAATCCTAGTAAGAAACATTGGGTAATAGATGAAGAATTATACTTCGAAAAGATGTATACCAATAAAAATGGATTAGATATATGTTGATAAAGTTTTTGTCAATGAGAAGTTTGAAACATATAGATGAAAAACAAGCTTAGTAAGTTTGGACTAACCCATATGAGCTGAATGAAGAGAATTATTGGATCTAATCTATATGTAAGTTTGGACTAAATAATTTTCGCGTTGAGTCTCATATTTATTAGAAAAAGAAAAAAAAAAAGGAAATTGTAGAGACTTGCATAGTAAAGGCCACAAAAGGAGAGTGCATGCAGCGAACAGTGGCAGCGTGAGAAAGAAGAGAATGTGAGAAAAAAATTAAGTTTTTATAATTTTTACTAGATGATTGAGCAACTAAACTTTCGTTCGTTTTGGTTCAAATATTATGTAAAGAATCCTTATAACAAGCTGGTACTTTCTTACTATATTCAGATTTAAATTTTTTTTTTATGAAACTTATTTTTGATGATAATGATACGTTAATGTTGAGTCAAGATTCTCTAGTTATTCTAGAGAAAATTTACTATAATTCTATTATCATTGGTGATAGTGGAAGTTTGAAATGGACTATGATTTTTCTCATATTGAATTTTTTATGTAAAAAATTTAGAATCTCACTTTACGATTGATTTATTATTCTATTATTTATATTGTTCTGATTAATATTTACTTTTGATAACAAGTTGATATTTTGATGAAAAATTTATTTTAATATAATAGTTTTTCTTATTTTGATAATAAGTTGGTATTTTGATGAAGAAAATATAATAGTTTTTCAAGTTGCTTTTGATAATAATTTTTTCCAATTTTATTGTTCCCGCAATGCAAAAAATTTAAACCAAATTCTCAAAACAGTTTTAGAAAGCAACCATACAGATTGTGCAAAAGAGCAATTGAAAAATAAGTGATCAATATATTCTTTATGATTCTTACATAAGTAACAAGATCATTTCATCTTCAATCCCAAATGGATCAATGTATCAACCGTCAAAAGTTCATGGTGTACTACTTTCTGACAAAAGAGTTGGACTCCATGAGCGACCGGTAAATTACAATAGACATCCTATATGAGTAGATTTAGTAGAGGCACCCCCTTTCGGATTAGGCTTCCAAATCTAACTATCATCATATGATCATGAAGCAACTTCTATTCCAAAATTTTCTCGATAAGCACAAGCCCAAAGGTCAAACCAAGCAAGGATGCATTCCAACATGAGCAAAGTAGGTTTCAAACAAACTGGCATGTGAGAAAGGTCAATTATCCATGCAAACATTAAAGGAACACTCTTTCCCAATAAATCTAATAATAGTTTCCAATTCCAATTGGCATTTGTAGGTCTAATGTTATCCCATAAATCAAAAGGATTGTATTTGGCGTTAACCACAAGTTGACCTCCTCATTAAATATTATCAATGACAGTTCTAATAACATGTATCTCTCTAAGGCCTAGAAATGTATATTTCTATCTTTAATAAAGATGTATTGTATCCAAGAGGAAGAGAAGAATTCGAAACCAATTATCATCATTCAACGTATGTTTCGATAATATATTCTTAACAACCCGATCCAAACGACGCCAATTAGGAATCAGACTATTGAATCAGTGATTCAGATAGAGAAATCGGACCGAGAAGGGCTCTTATCGTATGATCATATGCCTTGTTCTTATCTCGGTCAAGACGCGTAATCAGATGGATTCTGAATGAACGGTCAACGGGTGAGTTTGACCGAGGCCCGTTATTTATTCGTGCTTTGTAATTTTCTGCAGAGATATCTTTTTTCTTCTTCTCCGTGGACGAACTTATTGTCCGCCTCCGATGCTGACTTCGATGCCCACTATATATCGATTTCATAGCATCACAATTTGTTTTTCTGCAAAATGGAAAGATTCAACAAAAGAAAATTACGGTCAGTGTGAGGATCGTCATATCCATCGTTTAATAAATACCCTTCGCTCTCTTGCCATTTTGTCCTTTCATTTCTGTGTGTCCCAAGTCAACTCTCATCGTCCACTTCTTCTCACTTCCCAACCACCTATCTATCTATATGAAACACCTTCATCGTGGAGTGCAAAACGGTGCCTGTTTTCGTATGTTCTAACCACGTGCGATCATGCTCGATGCAAAACCACCACCGTCATCTCTTCCTCTTCCCATCCCTCTCCTTTTCCTCGTCCTGCTATTCTCCATCGCCGCCGTTAGCTTGGCTTCCGATTACGTCTGCCAGGAACTCTCAACGAGCTGTGGCAGCGTAACCGACATCACCTACCCGTTCTGGCTCGCTAATGATACAGCTGAGCTTGTAACCCCCTGCGGCTACCCAGACTTCAAGGTGATTTGCCGAGACAACACGCCGATTCTCAGCCTTGCCACCGATAACTACACGGTCATCCACATCGACCACGACCGCCGTATCATTTCCCTCGCCGACGCCGACATCCTCGGCAGTGAGGATACCTGTCCCAGAGTCCGCCACAACCTCACCTTTCCTCCCGATTCCTCTCTGGCCTACGCACCCTCCGACGCCAATCTCACCTTCTACTTCAACTGCAGCGACGGCCTCACCGAATACATAAGTCCCTGCCTTGGAAAGAAATCTTTTGTTCTCACAGACGAGATGATCGAGAACAATTCCTTCGTTCCTCACAACTGCGAAGCCGTCATCGTGGCTCCGGTCCTGCAGGAATATCTGAAGTCTTATCAGTATGAACTCGCGAACGGGTTCAGAGAGGTGTTGCACGAAGGATTCGAATTGAACTGGTCGGCGTCCACCAACACCACCTGCAGCCACTGCGAGCAATCCGGTGGGTGGTGTGGGTTGGACGAGACCAGTAGATCAACTTCGGTTTTCGCCTGCTTCTGCTCCGACGGAAGAAGAGCATTGTACAATTGTTCAGGTACGTTTACTTATCTTCGACCGCTCTGCTTCTCGTTCTATTTCGTTCAGATCTGCACCTTCTGTCGATCCATTATCATTTGGGCCTTTCGCCAGTAATCAAGAGATCGGTAGGAGTACCAGAGAAACTAGAAGAAACACAGTAGGTCTAGTGGTTGGTGTATGAAACTTCGTTCTTCACCTTCTGCGAGTGTTTGCTGACTGACTGGCTGGTCTTTCGGAGGAAACACGGCAAGAGAATTGAAGGATGGATGACTTCACCAGATTAAGCCATTATTAAGATCATTTATTTTAACTTGAACTGTTTGACCAACATTTTCAACCGTACAGTAACGGCGACTGAATCATATAAAAGACTTGGCTTTTCTTCAATCTAATCGTCCTACGTTATGCTTCAGTCAACAGTTTCTCATTTCACTATGATGCCGAGAATGTGTTCTAATATCACCATTTGTTACTCAATGCAGGCAGCCTTGGGAAGAAGAAGAAGAAGAAACTGAAAGGTACACAACTTTAGAAATAATATATTCTGAGAGAATTAAGCAGGTAATTTGTATCTCTTATGCTTTCCGTGACTCTGCAGGGACAGTCATTGGTCTTACACTTGGATGCTTCACTCTGCTATGCCTATTCCTTTGTGTCTATATTCTACGTTCCAGAAAACACCATGAAAAGAATGAGCAGGGTGTCGAAGGCTTCCTACTTCGATATGGTTCCTTGGTCCCAAAGAGATACAAGTACTCAGAAATAAAGAGAATGACCAATTCCTTCAGTAACAAACTAGGGCAAGGTGGAT